GGATTACCCCCTTGTCCTGTTCTTTCATTTACGATTCATGGTTTTTCTCTCTTCTTCATACTTCCTCAAACATTCCTCTTCCCAGATTGTACTCTTTGGGCTGTTAGATTTACAATACAGTATTGTTTGAAATCCACTTCATCTTCAAAATGTCATAGAAAAGTCCCCTGGTGAAGGTTGTCACTATGGCTAGAACCACAACCATCCAGGGATCTGACAAGAGCTCAAATCTGCTTTCTCCATGGCTTTACTCTCATGGCTGACGAGATGGTACTGATTATTGCCAGTCAGCCCCTCACATAGGGAAGTCTCCGAAAGGTGACTGGCATGTGCTCAAGTGTGGGAGCCACCTTCCCCTTGAGAAAGTGATGCAAAAAAAATCAAAAGCTGCAGTTTTTAATGAGGCAGTTTCAGAACTTACACACAACTGAATAAGATAATACACCTAAGTGTGAATAATGGAAAGAGAGAATCATTTGGGGACTCTCTTGGAGCCTGGTCATCTCCCCCCCCCTTAAAAATCAAAACAGGTAAAATAAGAAGTGTGGTGGTATTGTTTTCCCCAAAACATTGTGCACCCTAATAAACTTATCTGGGGTCAGATAACAGAACAACCACTAGATACAGAGGCCAGAAAATGGTGGCACACATGCCTTTAATCCTAGCAATCCAGAGGCAGAAATACATCTGGATCTCTGTGAGTTCAAGGCCACATTGGAAACAGCCAGGCATGGTGACACACACCTTTAATCCCATAAAATGAGCTTTTAATCCCAGGGAGTGATGGCAGAAAGCAGAAAGGTATATAAGGCTTGAAGATCAGAAACTAGAAGCTTTTAGCCTGGTTAAGCTTTCAGGCTTTCGAGAAGCAGTTCAGCTGAGATCCATTTGGATAAGGACTCAGAGGCTTCCAGTCTGAAGAAACAGGATCAGCTGAGGAATTGGCAAGGTGAGGTGACTGTGGCATGTTCTGCTTCTCTGATCGTTCACCCCAATACCTGGCTCCAGATTTGTTTTTATTAATAAGACCATTTAAGAGTCATGCTACAAAAAGGAATAGAATTTAAAGTTCTTTGCTACAACAATGGACTTCAATTTATCAAAATATGAGGAGAAAGTATTTCAAACACTTATCAATAACACAGTATTAGTACAAAGGATACATAAACAACTGTCAAAATGAATTAGAAAAAGACAAAATGAATAAAATATTTGAACAAACAAACCATAGAGGTATTAATGCATGCATTCAGTGCTGGTGGTCATGTCAGAGGATCAGCAGATGGCAACTGACTTCAGGGGATCGGCCCACCAGGAAACAAAACCGTGAGGGGTGAATTCAGATAGGCAAGGCCCCGAGAGCCTCAGCCGCAGAATATTTCTTGCAACTGCTGTGCTTTTGCATGTTTTCTGCTGCCATTTTTCTCTGGTATCTGGCACGGTGTGAATGGGCATGGGGAGATCCCCACTGCCCTTAATGCAGTATGATCATCTTTTGCAAATATCCTGTTCTACTGGGCATTTTTACCTGTGGATTATTATGAAGATGATTTCCCCTAAGCTGTTCTGTTTAACTGAAGCAATGATATTATACAATGATAGTTTTAGTTTAAATAGCATTTTGATGATTGAGGGTTTTTAATAAACATAGTAAGGGATTATGATAGAGATCAGTTTAGTGGAAAAATTAACATAGGTAAAGGTAGGGTATAGTGTTGCCCTTGCCTGTGATAAAGCAGAGGCTGCAGAGAATAAAAAATAAAACAAGGAAGTTTTACTCAGCTAGAACACATGAGTTTCTTTTGAGGAGCTTGTAGCTGAAGTTTTCCCCAGTTCTGCCTGGCTCACAGTTGGGACAAATCTCTCTCACCTGCCAGTCCCACAGCTGCTTAGACCCAACCAAGTAAACACACAGAGACTTATATTGCTTACAAACTGTATGGCCATGGCAGGGTTCTTGCTAACTGTTCTTATATCTTAAATTAACCTATATCTATTAGTCATAAGTTGCCGCATGGCTCGTGGCTTACCGGTACCTTACATCTCGCTTGTCATGGAGGCAGCTGGCAGCGTCTCCCTGCCTCAGCCTTCCACTTCCCAGACTTCTCTCTGCTTGTTCCACCTATACTTCCTGCCTGGCTACTGGCCAATCAGCATTTTATTTACACAGAGTGATATCCATGACCTTGTCATGTCTCTTGTCTGTTTTTTGATCCACAGCCCCTCACTCTGACATGGTGAACGGGTGGTGTTAGCGCAGGCGTTATCACTACAGGAGCTGTATAGACTGTGGCTTCAGTTAATGATTAAGAGAAACAATTGCATCCCAGTAGCCCAGGTAGCTTAAATTCTTAATCTTAATGTTGAGAGATGTGTTCACAGGTTTCAGAGTGTACCATAACTGAAACAAAGCTTTGAAAATAACTTAAGGTTAGACTAAGATGTTTTTGTCAAATGGCTTTGAGGTATAAAATCCAAGAAGACAATCTAAAGTTCACAAGGACACGTAGCTGAGTGAAAGATTCATTAAGGTCAAGGATCAAAAACAAAATAGCCAATATTATTCGTTGAAGCACCTTTCTTGCTAGGATTGGTTGGTGATCAAAGATGATAATTAATTCCTTGTACCCATTTCTGCCTTCAATTTTCTGATACAAAAAACTGTTGATGAGAGGGTATGTACCCTAAAGATTTAAAGTAGAGCTGACTGATTCTTTTTCATATATAAAAGTTTATGTTTGTGATTCTTTTAAGATTCCTTATAAGATTATCTTTCAAGATAAGTAATAAGGTGATTGGTTCTTTCTTTGTTACCAGAAGATGCAGCCTGCCAGTAAAAGAACTGGCTGAGAAAAAAATCCTGCTTGCTCACACTCTGTTAATCTATAACAAGTTACTTAGATGTGAATGCATGTGGGTTCTTGGGATGACTTTGTTAAATCGTGTAAGGGAGATGGAAAACATGTTTTTAACCTGTATTTATTGTAATCGTTCACTTGAAAAATAGAATGTAACCATACTGTAATTTTTATGTTGCTTGAAAGATTCCCCTGGGGTATATAAGCTCTAAGGGAAAAAATAAAGTGAGTTAGAAGGAAAACATCAAGAATGAGAGATGGAAAACCCCAGGAAAGATGCAGAGGAAAAATAAGAAGAGTAAAGAAAAAGTCAGAAGGAAATGATCACGAGAGTGTGTGTTTCTTTTCCTTTACTCCCTCAGATAAAAAGTCTTAGTTCACCGACTCCATGGATCCCCATTGAGCCCTGCGATGCTGGAGGCTGGCCTCCATGGCAGCAGTAATTCAGCAGACATTATTTTATAGAAATGTTCAGTTTCACTCGTAATTTGAGAGCTGCACATCAACATTAGAATACACCACACGTATTTTGTATGCTTCTTTGTTGGTGTGCATATGCATATGTAAATGTTCATGTGTGTGTACATGTATGTATGGAGGCCACAGGCAGGTGTTGGGTGATTTCTTTAGTTTTTCCCACATTGTTTTTTGAGATAAGGTGAGCCCCGAGCTCACTGGTTTGACTAGTCTGGCTGGACAGCAAGCTGCAGAGGTTCTCCTGGCTCCATCTCCCTAGTGCTGGACTTTTCAGCAAGTGCCGTGTGCTTGGCTCTTGGTTTTTACATGAGGGCTGGGAATCTGAACTTCGGTCCTTGCACTTGTACAGCCAGCACTTTATCAGTTGAGCCATCTCACCTGCTTTTATATACACATCTTTTTGTTTCTTTTCTTCTTTCAGATGGGGGTCTCTCTATGCAGACCAGGTTGGCCTCAAACTCACAGAGATCCTCCTGCCTCAACCTCCAGAGTTCTGGGATCACAGGTGTGTGCCCCCCATACCTGGCTACAATTGCATCTTAATGGCAAAACTGGAGATAGGTTAATGCCAACTGTTGGGGGAAATGTAGGTCAATGCAATACATTAAATATATATTGCTACTTTGAACTAGCTTTGGTACATCTACTTAGGGAAGTTTATGAATGGACATTTTCTTATATAAATATCACCCAACTCCAGGCTTATGATGTATACATACTAAAAGGTAAAGGTGTCACTTGGGGAAATTTTTAGGGAGACTTTCTAGGATGCAAATATCAGTCATGTAGCTAGTAAAGAGAAAAAACAAAACATGGCAGGCACAGAGCTCTCTGTAATGGTCACCTTGGGAAGGAAAAGTAGATATAGAAGATGTGAGAGCACATAAGCCTATGACAGAAAAACAAATCTAGTGTTGGGTCATGGTGCTCATGCAACATACATCAAACAGAATAAAATAAAACAAGTGTCAAAAGAATAGTATATGGTGTCTGCCGGGCGGTGGTGGAGCACGCCTTTAATCCCAGCACTTGGGAGGCAGAGCCAGGTGGATTTCTGTGAGTTCGAGGCCAGCCTGGGCTACCAAGTGAGTCCCAGGAAAGATGCAAAGCTACACAGAGAAACCCTGTCTCGAAAAACCAAGAAAAAAAAAAGAAT